AAAGCAAATGAATCAAAACCCAAAATCAGGCACTAAGTATTTCTAGTGACCCGCTCTGATACCAATTATTGAATTTAAATGCCTATCAAAGTCCACGCATCTATTCTAGATAAGTACAAAAGATACCTAACTATAATATAATACATTGAAATAAATCTAAGTCCTAATAAAAATATTACAAGAATAGGACTCTAATCTAATTAATTCCAAAATAAACATGGAAAACAAATCTTTGCCAATCTTTAATTTCCATGTATGGCGGATTTCTTCAATCTTCACTAACAGAAATCTGGTGCCAACAAAAATAATAATAAAAAGTACAATCCTAAATTGCCAAAGCCCAAGTCTAAGCTTTTCTGTATTTGATTTTTTTTTTCTCTTTTTGTTCTAGAATTTTTTTTCACTTTGGTTTAACTTATTTACTTAGGTAATTTTATTCAATTGTTTATTTATAAAAGACATGTGCCGTAAATCTAATTTTGGCATATAAGGTTTAATTATTTTTGTATAATTTTTCAATGCTTGATTCTTTTATGAAATTAATAAAATATTATTAGTAATAAATTAATTACAATTTGTTATATACATATTAGCCATATATATATATATATATATATATATATATATATATATATATATATATATATTTACAGTTAATTGACAATAAATTTATGAAACTTAGAGCAACTTCAATGCTTAATTTCAAAATTGAATTATCGAATAATTATTTGATATTTGAGTTAATATTTTAATATTGACTAAAATTCTTCTACTCCAATCATGGTTATCAAATTAATTATAATTAGAAGCCTAGGGGTGATTTTATTTGTAATTGCCACGTGTCAACTTGTGATTGAGTGTTTAGATAGTTACATTTTTTATAACTCAATTTCCAGTAAGTATATTTACATCTCAAAAGGTGAATTATCAAAATAGAACCCTCATTTGATAACCCCATTGGAGTTAAAAATTTCTATTTTTTAGTGTGTAAATGATGGTTAAAGGTTTGAATACCATGTTTGAACATTTTTATTTGTTTGCAGTGCGATTTATTTCATTTGCAACTTTCCCCAAAAAACCAAAATTTGCCCGCTATTTCGTTGGTTATATTACGAAATGCATTCAACAACTTCGTGTATTTGTACAAGAGGTATATGTGTTATCAGTATAGAACAAGGAGGACGAAACTGGGGGTTTGTAAAACGTTCTTTAGTTTCGTGACAAAAAAACATGAAATAACACCTTACATTTCGTGGTATTTTACACGAAATGTAAGCTAAAGATTCGTACAATATAGTACGAAATCACTAATTGAGTTTTTTTTTTATTTAACCAACTTATCTATTAACACTCAAATAAATACAATAAATTAACATAAATATTCTTAAACTCAAGTAAAAATACAAATTGAACAAAAAATCAAATACAAATATAAATTACAATAAAAGAGCATTTTGTAAACTACCGAAAAGACTTTAATTGTTCGTACAAGAGTAGCGGGGTTTGAACATTTTGAGTAAGTGCCTTAGGTTTTTAGCTCTATGATGTACCCATGCCGGATGGATAGGTGGTAGAGGACTATTTGGGACCAAATTAACAAGCATGAAATGATTGTTGTGCAATGTCACAACAATATGCATGATAAGTGACCATTGCAGAACATAGGAAGGTAAGTGGTACTCCCTACTTGGGTCAAAAGTACCACTAATGCACTGTATTTGGTAGCAATGCCCAATCTCATTTCATTCATGTCCATCCAATAAGCTTGTGGACAAGGGCCTGAGGGCCAGTCGCACTTGCGTATGACCTCAACGTATCCAGTACTGCCAAACATCGTCGTGTACACATTAGCATGCTCGTATAACTCAATAAACAACTCCCCCTCTCACTTGCGACCATGTTTCTTGATCCCCGTATACAGCTTGAGCAACGCATCGGTATTGCCATCCGCCATCATGTTAACATGATCTTGAATAAGACGGACCATAAATCTGGGCACGAAAGAATAGAAGTCGATTCCTTCATGTGTAGGTATTGTAGGGGCAACAAATTATTGTGTGGGAATACGAGAACCACGACCTTTCATCTTCGATTAAGGCGTTCCATCAGTGTTTCTATCAATCTTTGCTTTAGGAATATTTGGAGCAGGGGAGGATTGGCGATCCTTGGAACCACAAGACGACTTAATTGTCTCCTCATCAGTATGATACTGCCATCCGGAAGGGTCTCTCTTTGTCGAGTTATTCCTTGGTCGTCCTTTGGTCTTAATAAATGATGGCTCAGACAGATGCGACGTAGACGGATAAACGATGGCACACAATGATGCCACGACATTTATCTTACTCATGTAATTCATCTTCTTCAAATGGCAATTCAGGTCATCAATATGTCTATCCACAATCGCCTCGCAGTTTACTTGATACTCAGGTAGCTCCAAAGGTTCAACTGCCATGGTACTCCTGAATGGATGTAAGTCTGAAATGACGAACGTGTCATTATCTTCCATTTTCTGCACAATTTTGCACGCGCAAGGGAGCCCATGAGTATTTCAAAGATAGTGTGTGCAAATACTCGAATCTTGCATCGCCGGGGACTCCATCTCTTGATCCAATTTTTCCAATGCCAGATGCGTAACATAACAAAAATCAAATTCTGAAAACACGGCCACGCTGCAGTATGCTTCCTTATCTTGGATGATATTGAAAAATCACACTTCAGCAGACTAATTTGGATATAAACTTGGTCCCGAAGTTTGCCTCGCACGTCATCGAGACCTTCGGTTGAAGTATTTAACCAACCCTTTGCAGAAGAATGAGAAATCTCCACCCTATCCGATTACAACGACAATCAAGTTACAATATAAATATTATTTTTATATAATATATTCTATCATTTAAATAACTAAAACATGTAATACCTGTTGGAGCTTATGTTGCCACAATGATACACATTGCGGGTATAGGCTTGGACAAACTTCTCCTTGTATATTAACCACGTATGATTCAAATATTGTATCAGTCTAGGATATCATGTATATTGTCCAACAATTTCATTGTAATTGTAATGATACTCTTCTTCGGTTTCTGATTTCATCAGCTTAGCCCACACCCCACATCGGAATATTAATAGACCTTGGTCTTTGTTGCCTCCCATAAATTTCGTCGCATTTGCCTCAAAATTTCTATTTATATGAAATATACACAACATATGATACGAAACTGGAAAGACATTTGGCAGTGCTTTCAAGAGACCCAACTCCATGTCTGTTAGGATCCTATCAGGTTCGACACATCTAACAACTTTCTCAAACAATTCAAAGTCCACTTGTAGGTGTCTGTATCTTCATGCGACATAAATGCAACAACAATTGTAAAATTACTCCCAACTGGAGTTATCCCAACCAAAAAAGGCATTCCATACATACATCAATGTTTTTTTTTTTGCATATTTAAGCAATACAATACATTATAAAACAACAATCATAATTTAAACAATACAATACATTATAAAACAACAATCATAATTTAAACAATCGTAAATTTTACTTACTTATTGGTTTTGTATGTGCAGTCCATCAATATAACATACTGGAACAGTCGTAGTAACTTCATAGATTCGGGACATGCAAACATAACATCTGTTATTGTGTTGCTCGTTTCACTATCGACGTGATGCCAATATCTATACTCGCCTTGTTGAAAGTTATACATCAGAAACTGAATAACAGTCATCCCCTCCATTTCATCAGATTTAATTTTGGCCAACTCATTGTAAACATGCTTCATAGAGGTTTGTATCGTCGGATTTTCTCAATCTATCCATGATTAACATTGGCTTCACGTGAGAATTTCTCAATTCTTTAATTCTTACTTTCTGTTGTGGAGTTATACGACTAGTCGTACCATGTCCGTGAGGAAACAAAGCCGGAGGATGGGTATGCTTGCCATCGCTAACAGTCAACCGCCATAATTTATCAAACCTTGACTTTTTGCCAATCAATTTGAACGGACAACCACATTTTTTTGTTCCAATGTTTCTAGCATCTTCCACATCGATATTCATTCATCGGCCATGTCCGTATTTGTCAAACGTCAAATATTGTACATTCTCCCTTCCAGACTGACAAATCAAACGGTGAGAATGACTAACTGCAGTTGTTTTGGCCCACTTGATTAATTATTCCCTACTATCGAACACAATATCAACTTGGAAGAAGTGAGAGAAATCTTCAAATTCGTTTCGCTCCAAAATTGCGGGATCAAAATACAGGTTGTCTTTATATGACTGCTTAAAAAAGATAAATTAGTTAGATACTTGCACAAAAAAAAAAAAAAAAAGGCTAGGGATTTTGTGTATAAGTACACGAACTACGTGTATACATTTCGTGTACAAATGTACGAAACATACAACAAAAATAATTTACTGTTTGTTTCGTATTATTTTGTACGAAATATAAGTTAAAATTCCGTAGTGTTTTGTACGAAATTATTAGTAAAACAGAATATGATGTTAATTTCGTACAGAAAACCATGAAACTCAATGAAGAATTTTGTGATATCTTACACGAAACGACAAAAATTGACAATTACCAGACACAAATGTAATTTTTTACCTCATTAACGGGATCGATGTTGGCCATCTTGATAATTGTTGTGTTCTAACTGATTGTAGCGAAAACAAATCACGATCTATAAAGTCCGGTATTTAGAGGTAGAGGGAATTTGGAAAAAAATAAAAGATTTCTCTATAAATGAATTATTTTGCACTGTAACTGAGAAAAATTGCACCGATAATAGCAAACCCCTAGAACAATGGACCCTTGAAAGGAATATTCGTACATTAAAAAGGAAATAAGAAAAAAGAAAAGAGTGAGCCGAAGTAATGGGCCAGAAAAACGTGGACCGGGATAGATCTCCATGATCCGTACTTCCCGGTTGGGTTAGTGAAGAAAAACATTATTAAATTCATTTTTCATTTTTTCTTAATACCAAACTTTATCTTAAACTTCAATTTACATTTTACAGTAAGAAAGAAAATCCAAAGACTTGTTGTTTTAGCATTTCTTCTTTGCGTCTTCTTCGCTTCACCTCTGCACCATGTTTTCCCCCAATAAGATATTTTCAACCTCCAAACAGTAAATCAAACTCATCTGCTTTTCACAGAAATTCCAAGATTTGATGATGATGATGTAAATGCTTTGCATTCCAAGATTCAATAATAATCAGGCATGTATTTTTTTCTTTTTTCTTTTGGTCTCCGATTGAGAAATATAGGTTGGCTTTATGATATGAGCTTGTAATTTTGTTGCTGTGTGTGTGTGTGTGTGTGTGGGATATTATTTTATATGTTTGATGTGACACAATTACATCTTTTTCTTTATATATATTTCTTTTTGAGAGTTTGGGGGTTGAATTCTTGATATTTTTTATTTTTTTCACATTTCATTTGCTTACATCATTTCATTCCAATTGTTTCTTCTTGGTAAAGCATGCTGAATTCAGATGGATTAGATGAATTAGGGTATCAGTTGATCTGTTTTTTAATTAGAGCCAACAATTTTGCAATGCAGTTTTCATCAATTTTTAAAAACACCACACTTTTCGATCTGGTTTACTTATTCCATGTTTTCGGAATATGACTATTTGAAATTCAGATTCATAATTCGTGTCGTTTCATAACTCGTCAGCCTAACATTTTTCACAAACAAATTCCCAACACCGGGGTTCTTTTATTCTGGATTATCTGATTTCGGCTTGGAAGAAAGCTGACTAAATCTGTTTTTAACTATAAATGAGTACATTTCGGTCTCGGTTCTGTAATAATGTTATAGCCAACATGGGTATATTCATGCTCGATTACCTTCTGTTCTGCTAATTGTTTGAAACCCACAAATTTATTTACTGAATTCCACAATTTCAAGAAATCGAGTTGAATAAATAGGAAGCAGGCCACATATGTGTATACATTCATCATTTCTATCATATAAAAGGACTTACATCACCATTTAAAGCCCAAAGTTTATGTAACGGAAGTTTATTGCCGAATATATTTCTCAACAATTAGATCTTAATAAAATATTACTACTGCTCATTATGTTATTGTAAAGGAGTTTCTCATGCTATGCATCTTTATACCGTCGTGAATTTTCTTACAATATATATCCCTTCAACATCTTCTGCAGATTAAGATATTTGTATTTGTTCGCTGTGGTGGATTTGCTGCTGCAGTCAAATTTTTCGTTTTGGATGAAAGCAATTGCAATGTGCTTCTCCCTGTTGCAATTTCCGAGATGCCGAATTCATTCATTAGCCAATTCTTGTTTCGAAAATTTTAACAAGTTAGGTAAAAGAAGTGGCGTCAGTTCCACCAGTTACAGGGTTCTTTGTTCGAACAACTACGACCCGCAAGGAGGACATAACAGCAGCCGAAAGTGGACTAGACGAACTATAAATACAAACGCAAACACAAACACTGGAGGAAATATTAGCGAAAAGTTAATTAGCAACAAAAGTATCGGTCACGAGATTGTTCCTCAAGCGAGCACTGATTTAAGTAGCTACAAATTAGAAACAAGCAAGGTACAACAAAGGACCAGAAAAGTAGTTGTCCAAAACAAGATTGTCTCGGAAAGTACGACCACTACTAGATTTGATGAATGGAAAGTAGAAACAACAGAGATAGAATCGGAGCAGTACTACGATGAATTGGCTAAACTTGCGACAATAATTTGTTTCGACATTGAAACCACTGGTTTTAGCAGAGATAGAGATAGGATAATCGAGCTGGCATGCCAAGATCTTCGAGGTGGCGATAACTCAACTTTTCAGACACTAGTTAATCCTGAACAATACGTGCCCAATGAAAAGATTCACGGCATTTCATCTCGTATGGTTAACAGATACGATGTCCCCAGGTCAATATTTATTTATTTATTTTTATTTGTCGGGTTCTTGTTAAGTTTGTCAGTTGTGAAATGTATGTTTCGTAAATGCAGGATGAAGGAGCTTATTCCTATATTAGTGCAGTACGTGAGAAGTAGGCAGATGCCAGGTGGAGTTGTGGTATTGGTATCTCACAATGGGCGAACTTTCGATGTACCCTTCTTGAAAAATGAATTCAGCAGATGCTCTTTTGAGATTCCTCAAGATTGGTTGTTTGCCGACACTCTTCCACTCGCTCGTTTAGTCATGAAATCTAAAGGTTCGTTCATACAGCCGTTTCATTTCTCTCTTGCTATATATATCTATATATGTATATGTCCTTAATATATATATATATATATATATATATATATATATATATATATATATATAAAATGATTTTGTTGGCAGGACCGAAAGTAGCGACAAAGATATCACTGCAAGCGCTGAGGGAGTATTACGGGATTCCATTGATAGGGCCAGCTCATAGAGCGCTATCAGACGTACACTCATTAGCGCTTGTTCTGCAGAGGCTGACATACGATCTGAAAATGCCGATATCTGGCCTCATCAAAGCCTCTTTTAAGTAGAGAACATTTACATAGTTTGTAGGGCCTAAACTAAATTAATTTTGTTGTAGCAACTTCATCCCATTCATTGTTTCAAATGTAATAGCGAATCCCTTTATTTGTGGGATTTAATGTCCAAAGAATGTAGGATTGATTTAAAGCACTGTTTTGGTTACCAGAGTTTATGTTGTTTTGGTAACCATTATCAGATAGGGCATTTAATTCACTTGAATTATTATTATAATTATTTATAAAAGGAGGGATATGTTGGGTACTTGTGAAGATTCATTCAAGTATTGATGTTGTTGTTTCTCTTTTTCTTACTCTACTCTTGTTGAGTAAGTTCACTACATAGATGTGACAATGGTTTTATTTATTATCATCAGCAACGCGAGGATTTTAAGGATGAAAGATTTTGTAAAGTTCCGATTCATCGAGGAGAGAACCCCAACTCAGATAAGAATTCCTTTTAATTCAATAAGGGATCGATCTGGCCGTCAAAGGAGAGAAAGATAGCAGGATAGTAGCAGTATGCCTTGAAAGGAAGACAGCCTACTCTTTCCTTTGTCCAGGGATTGGTTCGAGTTCCTGGTGAACTGAAATGCTATTCATAGAACTTATTTTACCGTCTTGCAGTGCGACTTTATTTCATTTGTAATTTTCAAAGAAAAAAACCACAATTCTCTCAAACCCTTTCCCAACTATATTTCGTGCATGAACATTTCGTATTCCCTAAATCGAAGTGGATGAATGCATTTCGTGCAAATTTACGATACACGAAACCATAAATTTATGTTTTTATGCATTTCGTGTTGTATTGCACGAAACGAAACACTTCATTTCGTGCAATACAACACAAAATGCCTTTTTTTTCCAGAGTTTTGTGTTTATTTCGTGTAAATTTACACGAAATACAAGCTTGCATTTCGTGTAAATTTACACGAAATAAAACAAATTTATGAAGAAAAAAAAAAGCATTTCGTGTTGTATTGCACGAAATGCAGTGTTTCATTTCGTGCAATACTACACGAAATGCATAAAAATGTCAAATTTCAATAAAAAAATACGTTCTTTATCTCAAAATCGAAGTAGGTTTCTTCCGTATTGATAATTATTGTATTCTAATTGATATTATCGGAAAAATTTGACGATTTGGAAAGTTTAAAAATTCGAAGGTTGAGAGAATTTGGAAAAAAATTAAAGGATTTCTTGACAAATGAATAATTTCGCAAATTGCACTATGAATAGTAAACCCCCTAGTGAATATGTTTTTGGCTTTCTATCAAAGTCCACCAGCGGTAATGGATTTTCTATCTAAACAATTTCCCGTTGGCCTGGTCTTTCTTTCTTTTTTTTTCTTTAAAAAGCGGGGTCGGGGACTCGATTGCTATTGCGCTTATTCCTCCCACTTGGGATACCGGATACCATATCTTTTGCAATTCTTAACCCAATAAGATAAGGATTTCAGGCTTTCAAACCGCTATTTAATATATTTCTAAGTATAAAAAATATTGAAATGGGGGGGCTATACAATACATGATATACTCATAGTGAGGTTCTGCCTGCGTGAATGAGGTGAATATTACACCAAATGTAACATAATACAACTGCCAATCATTATTCAAATGCATGTACACCAACCTCTATAATGCCGTTGCAGCAATGTTTTTCGTTTCCCACTTCAAGAATGAATCCTTACAAACACAATTTCACCTCCAAACGGAAAAAAGAAAAAAAGAAAAAAACACTTCCGGAGAAAGAAATCAAGAATCAATACCGCATCCTCCTCCAGACTATACTAACTGCAATCTTCATTCTATTGAGGCATTTATGCTCCCTCCTTGCTAAAAAAAATGGTAAAAGGGAGAAAGCGATAATGGAGAAGGAATAAATTGGAACTTTCAACATGTAGTAAGAGAGCATATATATAACTGGGAAATCCCACTCTTTCACTGTCTATGAAATCCGATTCTGTATCGAGTGTAGAACAGTGGCTCGGAAAGTCAGAACCATATCAGACGCTTTTCAGGAAATGCTATGGTCATATCTTAGAAGATTATCTCCTTCAAAATTAACAGAATTAGCATAACAAAGCACATAATTACGAGAACGGTGGCGCACATAACCATGCCACCTTGTTTTTGACTTCTCTCTGCCTGCAATTTCCGATGCATTTTAACCCAATATTAGTCACAAATAATCCATAGCCGAGAGAAAACAAGTACATAAAATGTACAATGCATAGTCAGCACTAGCAACGCTGGAAAACAAAAACAAAAACAACGAATGTTGACCTTTTGAAGCTGTTTTAGACCATCTTCAACTGAAGCTGCAACGTTTGTTATATTGTAATCGATCCTATCAACAATAGTGCCCTGCTTGGAGAAAAGAATAATTAGAATCCAAAAGTTACTACACGAGCTGCTATTAAAAATGGCATATAGCATCAAACCTGATCAATCACCAAAACCGATAAATCCTTCATAATTTGGGCGAGGTCGTTGACTGATTCCACCACCTAAAACCAATAAAATGCCAAATAAAAATAATATCTGGTCATCATCATATATATAAAAAACTAAAATATAAAATAAACAAATAAAATAAAAATAAGCATCTAGGCACCATGCATGCTAAAGAAAAACAATAAAACTTTCAACTTACCTGTTGAATTTCTCTCTCCCTTTCTGCGGTGAATGCCTCACTTTTCTTTAGTTTGGCCATTTGATGCTCATTGAATCCCTAGAACATGATATTTGCAACACATTTGATGTTAAAACAATGCATCCATAATATAAATGAAGAGGATTGTATCTCAGGCAATAAATCTGGTACTCTAGCTACTTTAACAGTGAAAGAAACCAAAGAAGCAACCATAGAAACATTTGGAGCCTCTAATATGTTACTAAGATTTCTAAATTAATGGAAGGTGATTCTTATATGTTCATAAATAACTTCATATTAGGTCGGTGTTATTTGGTAAGTTTATTAGCAAATCCCAGAAGACTAGGCCAACTATACACAGGTATGCAGACTTTATAACCTCAAAACCGAGGTATTAAGTAGCCATCTCTTTTGGACCCTCTAAATAAATCAGTCTTGTAGAGATAAAAGCCTAAATACCGTCTGCAAGCATGTAGAACTCATTTTGCTCTTGTAGTCACAACATGATCAGAACTTCGATTTCCACTTCTTTTAAAGCATATATTGGGTAAATCACCACTTCTATTAATTGTTAAAGCATATATGTTGGGTGAATCAGTCTGTTCATTCGCAAGTACTCAAGTCAACAAATATACCACTTCTTTTAGGTTACAGCTAAAAGTTGACAACCGGCTACCCTTTTGGTGTCAAATACTCCCTCCTTCCCATTTTATTGTCGATATACGCTAATTTACATATATTAAGAAAACTAATATATGTACATGGATTCTAGAAAAATCATAATAAAATGACTAAAAAAAGCACTTTCATAAATGTTTTACCATTAATTCTCTTAAGAGTATTAAGGGCACAATTGAGAAAAACACAATAAACACTTCTTTGGAATCCTAAAGTGAAAATTATTTTGAAATAAAAAAAATATCTAGAAAGACAAATAAAATGAGAAGGAGGGAGCATCAAGCATTAGGTTGGTACTTCTTAGTATTGTTGCAGTTCAGAGCTTTGAAGGTACCGTTAGCACTACCAGCTTCAGGTCTTTGGAATATTTTGTTACAGCTCTTGTATATTTCTAATAAATATTGCTACCATGGCAATCTTGGTCTTCAGTGATACTACAATAGAATAGCATGCATGTACATTGTGGACTAGATGCATAGTATCTTAAATACCTTTTACAGCAAATGATTCTAGTATGCATGTGTAGTTTTTGTCTATTTATTCGAGCATGGAACTAAATCACCGGCAGATAGAAATCTACGTCAAACACAAAAGAATCTGAGTTAACTTACAATGTCATCAAAATCATCGTCCTCTGTCCTAGAATTGCTCCCTTTTAAGTTCATTTCCAAGTCGACACCATCAGGACCCTACATAGAATGTCAAGATGCTAAAAAAACTTAGCAATGCGTAACTGAAACGCGTTCAGGAAAGATCAGTCTGCAGCTGCTCAATTATCAATACGGCAAAATATTGAGCAGTTCAGTAGGTAAACACTTCCAATTACAATGAAGAATTTATCATGTGACTGAAACGCTATTTTGATGTCAAGATGTCTTGGCAATTAAATTTGACTACATGGATGGCAAAAAGGAAATAATACCTCTTTCTGCTGCCGAAGCCGCTTCAAATATGTGGACTGCTTCCTACGTAGCTCCATTGAGAGAGTCTGAAGGTCAGTTGCTAAAGACCTCTGTCAAAGAAATTATATTCTCTAAGCACAAATCTTGCATGAGATATATATAAAGAATATTACAACTGATAGATAATATTCCAGCAGAGAAATAAGACGGAACTGCCAAACATGTTATAAGCAATATTGTATTACCATCAGGAGCAATACTTGACACAAAATATCAGATTTACGTATAACAGAGAGCCAAAGTCACCACACTATTTCATTGTATTATATTCAAATTTCAGCGATGCAGGATAATCAAATGGGAGAACAGATGAGGACGAAAAAAGAGCAATTAGTTTCTGTTATTCAATCTCATCAAGGAATTAAAGTACTTTAATAAGTTCCTCTAAGTACTGCCACAACTTTTATAGTCCTATACAATTCAGGTGACAGAAGATTACCACAATTGTTTATAGTCGGATGAATTCAGAAATAGGAGATTATGAGATGATACCTGGACATTTTTCCGGATATTTGAATCCTCTGAAGGCCCACCAGCAGAGAGTCTTTGTAATCTTTTTTCAGATTTTTTCAAAAGATCAGTTATCTCATGTGTAAGTGCCTCAATTTGCCGTTGATCTTCTTTACCATCTCCAAATGAAGGCATTAAAGCCTTGGCATGTGCCTTTGCTAACTCGGCCATCTTCCCCCTCGCACGTTGTATATTAGCTGCTAACTCTTCAGATACATCCACCCATGCTGGTGGTAAACCTACTGCAACTGTACCCCTATTGTAACAAAGGAATACCTCAGAAATGGGTGTCTTTGATTATATCAGTAAATTAGGAATCTTTGGTTAGACTCTGAAAATGAAACTGTTATTCAATAAATTCTCTATATCTATTCTTCTTCTTCTTCGTTTATTCTAGCCTGATTATTTTCTCGTCTTTACATCTAACCAACTTCTTTCAAGTGGATTAAGAAATGTGACGTAAGTGATACATGTGCTGCACACAGCAATAACCCTCGTGGGAATTGTTAGCCTATGCAGCAAAAATTGCACCATGATGGGATTAAAATTGAAATTTTGAGCTTGGCTGCTGCACTCTTAAAATATTTGAGTTGCACGGCAATCTGCTATAGTTTTGCAATTGCTCGATCCAACAATTGGTATAAGAACAAAGGTCATGGTTTCAATTTTCGTTTTCCGGGTAGGGGATTATTGTATTGCATGATAGCACCAGCCTATATAGAATTATTTGCCTGTGAAGCAGCCATTGCCGTTAAGATGGGACCATAGCCAAAACATGAATTTTCGGTTATTGTACAATTTACATTCGAATTGCACCGTTCTTATAAACTATAGCTTTTAGCACAGTGGCAAATGCTCTGCAATATGCTACAGTCATGATCATTACTTGACAGGTGAAATTTAGGAAATTTCTCTTCAATTTGAGATAGAGGTGTAATGCAGAATAAAATGTGACATGCTCTATCTCACGGGTAAAGAATTTCTCGTAAGGATTCCGCCTCGTGTAATACATACTAGGATCTTCAAGCATTGAATTCAACAGAGTTTCAGATCAATAGGCAAAGTATTGAAGCAATAATCAGATAGAAGATCCAACAAATCAAAGCATACGAAAATTCGTGCCATTTTTCAATCTTCGTGATTACTAAATTTACTAAAAAGAAAATAAAAGAACAATACATGAGAGATAACAACTTCAAAGTAGTTTCACAAGAGAAAGCAAAAATACCTGGAGGTTCCTGGATCTTCAGTACTTAAAGGAGCGTAAGATCGGTTAGGGTTAAGCAGAGACGTAGTCGACAGCTCGATCACAGCGCCTCCGCCGCCGCCGGAGCTCGACGGAGACGAACCCGCCGGAACCCTGACGCTTTTCAACGCATCCCTATACCTTCTATACAAAATTGTCCGGTTCCTCGTCGCCATTAATTACAAAAAAAAAAATTCACAAAAGAATTCCCCAACGCGTAAACACAATTCGAACGATCAAATCATGAAACTAATTTGATTGATTCAAAGTAGATCTGCGGAAAATGAAGTGGGGGTAATTGGGTCGGCCCGATTACGAACAGGTCAAATTCAAAGAGGATTTAGAACTCCGTCGGGCTCAAGTTCGGGCTGATACGGAAATCAATAACAGTGAGGAATTACGAAATTAGGTAGGAGAATGAAAATGTGGAAGTTGGATTTTAGGTGGGACCTTGGTTTATTATATATAAAAGTGAATTTGGTGAAATTGTTGGGGAAATTGTTTTGTAGGTACCTCAACAATTTTTATGGAATATTACACGCATATGTTCTTTGGTACATACAGTATAAGCGGTACAAATAGGCCATGATAAGACTTCTTAATTAAGAAATGAACATTTTATTTTATTTTATTTTGTAAATATATTATCCCAAAACACTTGTTTGATATTAACGAAAATTCTTCCATAAATATATTTTACCCGTGCGATGCACGGTGATTCCTTCGAGAACAAATCTACTATTCAACAATTTAGGGTCGTAAAGAAAAATATTTCAAAACAAATATAGAACTGGTATAAGTAAATATGTTGTCAAACAAAACATTTGGTCCGGAGCAACATAATATTTGTTTATAACATAATGCATAATATATTTCGTTCGACATGTCTTCCATATGAGAATGCTAGAACTAACTAAATTAATGGAATCAAACGCCTTCCATATGAGAATGCTAGAACTAACTAAATTAATCGAATCAAACGCACCGCACCACCTCATTGGTCCACTTAAATCAAATAGTACAGAGTAGGTAACCTGCAAAGTTTACGTACTTCGCATGAATTCAGTTCAATACATTTTTTTATGAAACAACAATGACAATGATGCATAATTAAACAATATTTATATTATACTACTTATCAAATGCGAATGCAACGAATATGCTAGAAATACAAAATCACGTGCAAACATTCCTAAACATAAAGAGCACATACACAGATTAATAAGACTAAATATAGTTATAATAATATAAATAGACGATAATTTACGATATATACCTTCATATGCGCTGAAATACTTCTTTGTAAACAACGTTGCTAGTTGAACTCGACAATCCACCGGATTCGGACTTGATTAGGATCTTTATGCCAGATCTACTCTTGACTCTCGAGAGTGCAACGTACAACTGATCGTGGCTGAATACAGGTTTGGGTAGATACAAACCGACGTGGGAAAGTGTTTGACCCTGACTCTTGTTGATGGTCATTGCAAAGGAAACCATCAGTGGAAATTGTCGCCTCTGGAAGTTAATTGGCAGAGTAGAGTTCGACGGGACCAACGTCATCCGAGGAATGAAAACAACATCACCGGTATTTTTGCCGGATAGAACCTTGCAGCTAAGAACATGGATTCCCATTCTAACAATTTGAAGTCTGGTTCCATTGCAAAGGCCTCTCGCCTAATCGATGTTTCGTATGAGCATAACAGGAACATTTTCCTTGAGTTTAAGCCTATGTGACGGGAGACCGGAGCAAGACACGGTGTTGAGGAATTCGGTCGTATAAATTTGAGCATTCTCTTCCGAATTCATCTCATCCTTGCATATACTATCCGCACTGAGGTACAACTTCTCTTCGCCGGGAATGAGGGAACATAAGTAGTCGTTGACAAACTGAACGCAGTCATTAGTCGGCGCAAGCACTGCCCTCCCTTGGAAATAATCGGGATTTGATATGTTACTCAATAATGGATCTTCGGAATCGGGAATTAGCATGTCCTCGGGAATCTCAACAGACGCTTCACCATCGTTTTGCTCTCCCGCCTCCTCATTACCGATACTCAGTATCCAATGAGCAAACTTCTTTACTTCTTCAACCTCGGATGGATTAGAGCTTGATTGAAGCCTCATATTCGTATGCAACTTAAGAACCTTACAGTCTTCCCAAAGCTGAGATGAGTTGATCGTAGCGTGAACAATGTCCTGCCTTGATGCCTTCAACACCACAGGTAAAATCTGTCTAAAGTCTCCGCCAAGAACGACCACCTTGCCACCGAATGGTTTGGGAACATGCGTGATAGATCGCAAGGTCTTGTCAAGCGCTTCGAAACAATATCTATGCATCACCGGTGCCTCGTCCCATATAATGAGCCTCTCCTTTATAAGCAATTATGCGTGTGGACTTTGCTGTGTAATGTTGCACGTGGAACCATCGTGCACCATGATGGTCAATCCAAATCTAGAATGGGCGGTCCGGCCACCGGGAAGCAGCAACGATGCTATGCCACTCGAAGCAATATTAAGAACTATTTCCTCTTTCGAACGGACTACAGCGGACAACGTTCTCCATATAAATGTCTTTCCGGTACCTCCGTGACCGTAGAGGAAGTAAATCCCGCCAGCCACAATTCTTCGACACAGCATCCATGATGGCATCATAGACCCTTCTCTGCTCATTTGTGATAGAAGAAATATATCGTTTCAGTTCTTCAGCCATCGCAAATACGTCGTAGTCCAACTCATCGAGCACTAATTGGTTCTCTGTGTCATCCGTCGACGAATGTAGTTGCATCGGCATAGAGTCAAAATTCCGCAAGCTCTTACCGTTGCTCTATATGATCTTCTCAATTTCTTGGTGGTGTAAAAAAAATTCTTCATAGTATATTTAGTATTTATATTTCGTACTTTTATTTTACGGGCAATTTGTCAAACATCCCTGATCTCTAATTGTCTTTCAAACCAGAACAACCCAACTTTTGCAATTTGCTAAAAGTCCTATGTTCTTCAGACACCCCACACTCCGCCAGATCCCGTCCAACCCCGTTGCACGCCGTTAGATCTGCTCAATCCCTACCCCCGCCGCTGCCATCGTTGCAAAACACTGCCACACAACCACACATATGCGCATACACATAATCTCACACCTACATATACACATATGCATCTACACACACGCACACACATACGATTTTGGTTACACTCATTTGTCTCCGCTATGACCTAATAATCATGGAAACCATAGAGAAAAAATATTAAGAATTGTTTGGTGATGGTAATGTTGGTGGTGATGTATGCACCAGATATTTAATTTTTTTTCTTCAGCTTATTTAACTAAGCTATATAACTAATCTATGCAAATAAGTTGTCTAAATTGTGTACTATGTTGCATGTGTAAGTTGTGTATATGTTGTGGAAATCATCTATTCTTGTTTTAGATTTTTCATCACTGTATTTTAACTAAGTTGTTGCTTAATAATATAACTAAGCTGTGCAAATCACCGCGTCATTGTTACTGTTAGTTTTCCAAGCGATTACATTAGAGGGGGAGCGCACATGGATTTTTAGCAAAATGACAAAATGCGCGTGTCCTTGTAGCTATAGAGAATATTCTTTAGGGACCTCCAGCTAATTTTCCCTTTATTTTAATGAAGAGATTATGTTTGTAAAAAGAAACGAGATGGGGAGCTAAATGTAAAAATATAAAAAGTTGGGGATCAGAGTGAAATGCTTAATTTCTATAGACTCAGTAAACCCTAAACCAAATTTTAGGGAATGCCAAATCTCATTGAAAGTCCCTCATCTTGGTATTTAGTCTCACTTTAGTCTTTTATGTCTCAATTGTCTCATTATCATCCTTCAACTCTACAATATATCTCAATATAGTCCTTCGTTGTATAAATTAGTTAACTTTAACAAAACCTTTTATTTATTGGATGAAATATGTGCTACTCTTATAATTATTTGTAATAAACTATAAATAAATTAATAAATACTAGAGAAACATATATAATTGAATTAGTTCTTTAAATATTAACATAATATCATAAAAAATATAAATAAATTTTTGATAGAGAATATATGTAGATGATGTATTATAATTAGAGTAAACTGCAAATACTACCCCTATGTTATGTCGAAATAGCGGAAACCCCCCTGTGATAAATAAACTAGAAAAAACCCCCCTGTGAAATTTAGTCAAAGGCAGAATCCCCCTTAGCTGATTTTTTAGACTTGAAATGACAAAATTGTCCCTCAAAATGTATTTATATATATATATATATATATATATATATATATATATATATTATATGTATATTTATTCTTTTTAATTTATTTATTTAGAAATTAAAAAAAAAATAATAAACAACTAAATTGATTATTTTTTAAATAAAATAATTAAAATATTTATAAGATATAAGAATTTATTAATTGCAAGACTCCAGAAGTATTTGTGTCTTTTTATATCAAGTCAACGCTCAAATAGTTACATAGGGGGGTTTTTGCTATTTAAATAATTTCACAGGGGAGGTTTTTGCTAGTTTATTTATTACAGGGGGGATTTTTGCTATTTCGAGATTACACAGGGGTAGTTTTTGCAGTTTACTCATTATAATTATTTATATATGTTTCTAAATTCAAGCGATATATCCACAAAATAAATGATTCGCTTTATATTAATATAAATTAATATTTCGTAAAAATCATAAGTTATATTTTTGTTGGTTGCCAATATAATTTTTAAATTACAAACTTTATTATTTATTGAAAAAAGTCATAATTACTCAAAAAACAATTCTAACAACGGAATATTTCATCCATTAAAAAAAAAAAAAGATTTCGTTAAAGTTAACAGATTTATACATCAAGGAATGATAATGAGATTAATTTTAGAGATGAAGGATGAAAACACGACAATTGAGACACGAGGGACTAAAGTAGCACTAAATGTGAAGACCAAAGACCATTAACGAGATTTAGCCTTTATGAAATGAGAAATATAGTTCTCAGGTATTTGTATCTAGATACATCAATATACCATAAATAATATCAATAATTAAACTATACGGGTTTTACACATAAGTCTCTGACCCACCATCTTTATTATTCTAGATTCAGGTGTTGTATATCGCTTTTGCCAATAAGTCCATCTCTTTAATATATTTTAAAAATAAAGACAAAATTAATGTATATGAAAAATACCCCCGCCCCTTCAAAACCAATTCTTAATTATAACCCCAATTTAACTTCAATCTCATCAATTTTGACTCTTTTTTTTTAACTTTTTTTTTATGTCTGTTTTTTCTTCCGTCGGTTTCCAGCGTTGACTTGTCGTAACAAAAAGTTATCCATTTTTTTACGCCCGCTGCTTAATGTTGACTGCAGCTGTACTGCCATTAACAGTACAATTACTGTCAACCACATTCATATTATTATTTGTTTGACTTTTTTATTTTATTTTGTTTGATTTGTTGACAATTCAACATAATAATATTACTGTTGTTGACGGTAAAATTATTGTAAACACAATAATATTATTGTCAACCACATCAATATTATTATTTTTACCTTTTATTTTATTTGATTTATTGATCGATTAACGTAATAATATTAATGTCTATTATTGATATTATTGTAAATACAATAATATTATTGTGATTGACGGTAATATTACTGTCGTTACTGTAATATTACCATTGTTCACAATAATATTACTGTCAACCACATTAATATTAATTTTTTTGCCTTTTTATTATGTTTGCCTTTGTTGAACGGTTAACATATTAATATTACTCTATTAACCCAGTCGCCGGCGCGCCTCGCGCCTCAGTAGCCCGCGCGCGCACGCCCTGCACCCTAGATATCCGCACACGCGCGCCCTCGATCCGCAAGCTCTTACGACACGCAACTTCGATCTGCGCGCTCTTACACCGCGCAATCTCGATCCAACAAACCCGCTGCGAGACAACTCCCACGAGGAGACAACTCGCTTGGCACTACCAACCCGCAACAAGACAACTCCCACGAGGAGCCAACTCGCTCAGTACTACGAACACGTTACGAGGCAACTCCCACGAGGAGCCAACTCGCTTGGTACTATGACTCGCTATGAGATAACTGTTGGGAATCAGACACGTGTACGCATCGGAAAACAAAAATTTTATGCGAATTAAACGAATTTAAATCACATAATCATATGCCGATATTTATTAAACAATTAATTGCGTACCTTTGCGCTTCCAGCGAAATTAAAAAAAACGACAATCATGCGAATTAATTTAATCGACAGTAAATCAATTAGCATGCTCGCAGTAAATCATTTAACATGCTCGCAGTAAATCATGAATTTCATATAAACATAAAATACATATCAATTCACGAAACATACTACGAACATGGATAATTTAATCTAATTAAATTAAAAACCTAACGAATACCGGATTCGAGAATTACCTCTTGAAGCGTGAGGTTGGCGCACGAATCGAAGCAAGACCGCCACAGAAATCAATCCGTGCAGTCGGGGAGCGGCGACGGCGAAGCAGCGGCGGCGGCGGTGCAAGCGACGGCGGCGCGTGTGGATCACGCGTTGTCTTCGGGCGGCGCGTGGGAGCGCGTGCGTCGGATCGGAGCTGCTCCTCAGTTCTTCGAATATTAGATCTTCCTCCTCTCGGATTTCACCTCGTATACTTCGATCTACTAAATACGTGGCACTAGACACGCAAAATTTAGAATATACAAAAGAAAAGAAATGAAGAAAAGAACTACCAAGACAATCGGCCAAAGGGGGGCCGATTCCGGCCACGGCGGCGGTGGCCGTGGGTGAGATCGGCCGAGAGAGAGAGAGAGAGACGAGCGGCTAGGGTTTTGAGACGTGTTGTGTGTGTACAAGACCTATAAATCATGTATTTATAGTGTCTTGTATAAAAGCCCTAACGGGCTTAAGTTGGAACGGGCCCAACAGCTTAAGTTCGTTAGTTCTTTACTCGCTCGTTTCTCTCAACTCAATGATCGGAAAATTGTAACGATTATATTTTCGGAATTATTATAATGTCCTCGTCATTACGAGTGGCAATTCTCGATTTGCATCTTTCTAAAAGTGGAAACCCTAAATCAGTGCACTTTCTAAAGTTGGAAAATTCCCGATTTAGAAAGCTCACTAAGATGTTCGCCTATTCTTTTCCTTTTCTTATTCTCATTCATAATTCCAAATTACGAATGTTGTACTCAATCATATTGACTTCCAATCATGCAAAGATAAAACATTTTTATCTCTGGCCATTTATTCAAAGATCTCGAGTGCACGAGCAGTGTGACCCTCGATGGTTCAGGTGTAAGCTAGCCGTGGGTCCACAACCCTTTGTGGTCAAAACTCGTCCCTTAGAGTTACGATTAAAATGAAGCTCGTTTCACCTTAATCACCCAACGAATCAAGATTGGCGTCTAGCAATTACGTGTTGGGAATCGGACACGTGTACGCAGCGGAAAACAAAAATTTTATGCGATTTAAACAATTTAAAACACATAAACACATGCCCGATAATTGAAATCAATTTATTGCGTACCTTTGCGCTTCCATCGAAATTAAAAACAACATACATGCTTAATTACTTAATCGAAATTCAATCAACTAGCATGCTCGCGTTTAAATCAAATAACATGCTCGCTATAAATAAAACGATTTCATGTAATCACATAAAATCATACAAGAACGAACATACATATCCAATTTAAACTTAAACGAATCTATCGACAATTGATTCGAAGGTTTACCTCTTGAAGCGTGAGGTAGGCGCACCAAGC